CCAGCGGCGACACCACCACCGTCACCCCGCTGTCGCTCATCAGCGCGGGCAGCTGGTAGCACAGGCTCTTGCCTCCGCCCGTGGGCATCAACACGAACACGTCACGGCCGTCCAACGTGGCGTTGATGATGGCTTCCTGGGAGATGTCGCCACATGACCTGTGCGGGCGTGTGGGCGCGTGTGCGTGCGGGCGTGTGGGTATGTGTTGGGGAGGGGGAGGGGGGAAAGACGAACCACACAGGGGGAGGGGGGGAGGGGGGGAGGGGAGAGAAACACATGCATACATACAAGCAAACACAAGGGCTTATTAAATGTTGCGTACGTTTCTGGCGGTTGTTTGAGGGGTTGGAGTGGGGCCAGTGGCTGCTGTACAGCGACCACGGGGAATACCCGGGGGGGGGGAGGGCGCGGGGATTCACCCCATGACATGGGGGGGAGGGAGGGAGACCCGCACCTGAAGCCCTTGTTTCCAAACACCCGCAAGTTGGTAGCCCGCAGTTTGGCGGTCCAGGGGAACGTGCCACGCCACTTGCGATCTGTCGTACCGTCGTGCACGTCGTACTTTCCAGGGCTGGCCGGTACACCTGGCGCCCGAGCGCGCAGAGAGGGGTCTGGGGGACGTGGTCCCGGGTCGTCATTGAAATACGTTCCACCACCATCGTCAACACCACCATTGCCCTGACCACCACTACCGCCAATACCCCCACCTCTTTCTCGCTGATTTCCGGCATAAGGCCCCCTGCCCGGGAGGCCCCCTCCGCCGCGGTCGCCGGCACCAGGGAATTGCTGCGGCTGCGACTTTTGCGGGGGGGTGGGTCGGGGCTGTGTCGGCTGTTGCTGCTGCATCTGCAGGCTGCTGTTGTTGTTGCTGCTGTAATTACTGGGATGGTTGCTAGGTGGATAGGTTTGTTGGGAGTTGTTGGTTGGTTGGTTGGTAGTTACCGCTCCGGGGCCGGGGGGAGGGCCTTGCCAGGAGCGAGGTGGCGGTCCGGACCCGGGGGCAGCAAGTGACCTGGGACGTGGAAGCGGTCAGGATTCACAGAGTCTGATTACACCACATGCTGTCGAATACGGTAATAATGTCGTACAGATGGCGTGTGGCTCAAGTAGTGTCCTATTCAATGTACGGACCCCCAAACACTCCCCCCCTTGGCCCACAATTACACTCTCCTCTGCCATCCCAACCAGGCATACGTCGATATATATACAAACAGACAGACATGCAATACACCGACCGACAAGTGCGATTTTAGCTAAGCAGGAGTTTGAACAAAACTGGGTTTCGTGGGAGAGGGCCAGCCAGTGATGGTTGAGCAGGAGGGAGCTCACCCAGAGCTCCGCCGTAGCGCATGTGTGTTTTGGCTGGGTAAGCAGTAGAGGAAGCCCCAGTCCCTGGAGGGCGGTAGCCGCTGTTGGCCCGCGGTAGGCGTCATGGCGGACCAAAACTTGGCAGCTAGCACAGCAAAGTTTCCGACCAGATGCTTTCAGTTCTTCTAGGTAGTGCAATTGCTGATCGCGAAGTGGTGGCTTTCAGGATGGCATTTCGTCCGCTGCAAACAACATATACAGCTTTGGGGCTCGCGCTGGAGCTTTTACAATGTCGTGCACTATTGACGCAGCAACGTTTGACGTGTTCGAAATGAGAGGCATTTAGGCTTGCCGATTTCGTGGTTCGTTTGGTTGGTTAAATCCTGGTAGATCAGTATCTGTGATGAGCTAGTTCTGAGGTCATGGATATTATACCTTACAACGACATGAGTGAGTTGTCTGTTTACTGAATTATTCATTATCTTTAGCTTGCTATGAGCCTCGCGCTTTCGTCTATTTGTCGTTGGATTGCGGACTTGCATCACCTTGGGGTTTAAATCTCCTCAAGGTATCAAAGGAGCTTGATTCGTTTCGTCGCTTAGGTGAGGTTGAGGACGAGCGCAGTGTCCTGCCGACTACGATATTTGTCAGAATCTTATAGTATCTTGCAGTTACTGCAATAGGTACGAGTCTTGGCGATCTTGAACTCCTAAGTTCGGCCCTACCAAACCACGAAAAAAGGATATTGGTTTGAAGGACCGCTAGACTGTTAGCTGCGTGCGTCACATGACGCCACGTGGACTGGTCACCCGCATCCCGAGGGTATGACAAACTCGACTTTGTTCAGGTCGAGTTTCTTTCACGTTCGTCAACCCTACCAAATTGCTGGTGTTTAAGAGAAAAAGACGGTTGTGCTGGAATTGCGAGCAGCGCGCTGGCAAGAAATCAGTTAGCATCGCTCCAGGGCGGCACCTCGTCTGGGCCAGGTGTCCGCGCGGGCGTGCGGGTGGGTACTTTAAGGTGACTAGTGGCCTGGTGAACATATGTGTACGTCATTCTAAAGCAGGCTGCAGTGTTTTTTCCACAGCAGCTGACCTGCAGCGCGGCTTGAATTGATATATACTTGTGGTCCTGAGTGTGGCGCGATCTCAGAAGTGGGAGTGGAGTTGTTTGAGAAAGCGAGCAGCTGCCATTGTTGTGTCTTCACTGGTGTTTTTGGGCGGGTAGGGGGTTGCATGTGTGTTTTAGGGTATTTGCGTTATGGGAGGAGCACTTCCAGGAATAGTGTCCCATTTTGGACTGGGGCTCTTGGCATGCAAGGTTGCTGGGCCATCACCATCAAGGATTGCCATGCTCACTCTAGCCTCTGGGGGGTTCACTTCGGGCTTGTCAGATCCACTACGAAGTCATTATTTAACGCGAAGGTAGGCTTTGTACGGCAATTCAGTTGTACGGCGTAAAAGTATTTATTTGCATGCTTCGGCCGGGTTTACCGCAGGGGCACTGCTGCTTTGTGTGTATACGTATTCCGGTCGACACACATACATACATACACACACAGACACATACAGGAACGAATGATTAAAACACCACTTTCTCAGGTACACGACAATACTTGGGTGAGGCCATCAGTTGAATTCTCGGATTTCTGAGGCCAGTATGTGTAAGAAAATCACGTGTACCTGACCACGAGGGTGCATGTACAAGGTATGGAGTGTCCCCTGCGGACCCCACACGGGTGAGGTAGGAAGGTTGCAGGTGGGGCCAGGAGTTTGTCCACCCCACACACCCTTATTTCCGGACCAGAAGACGGAACAGCTTATTACCCGCCACGTAGCCACACACGACACCAGCGTGGGGTGGGCGATTATGTTGTAGTGTAGTGCAATGCTACAGGCCCGTGAAGTATGTCTCAGGCCGGCACTGCCCTGACCACGGTATAAGACCGCGCTCCGAACGTGAGTAGAATATGAATTATAGCAAACCCACGTCCGTTCTGTGAGCAAAGACGATTTCAGTAAATTTATGGATTTCGGTAAGGCTGTCGTACAGATTCTTGATGTTCAGTTCCGGTGAATTCTTACAAACGATTCCTTGACAGCCATGTCAGTTTCAGAAGATTTCATAGTCATAATTGATTCGCATATTTCATAATAAGCTCATCATTACTGTGTAGCTATCGCGCTACAACAGATTATGTGCAAAATGGTAAGGGATATGGAACAGGAACAAACACATAATGCAAAACATACACACGCAACCTGAGAGCCTAAGAGTTACATTATTAGCACACTGGGTTCCCACTCAGTTCCAGTTCTCGCACACGAATTCAGGTTTTTCTTCTCTCCCCCCCCAACAACCCCCCCTCAAAGTCCCATCCCACCGGTGAACTTCAACGATAGCGCCACATCAACCAACGGCCGATGTTGATGTCTTTTTCCGAGAACCATCCACCATGACGAGCTCCACCTTTACCGCCTTCTTTTCACCTTCACCTCATCGGGCTGATCGCCCTCAACCCCTCAAGAGCCTTCACCGTGCAGCAACCCACTACCCTGTCGTCAGCCGCTCCAACTCTGTGACACACCTCCACACACACACACCCGACCACGCACACGCCAGAAACCGCCACCGCCACCACCAAATACCCTGGCGACCGAACCACTTCATCACCCAACCACTTCATCACCCAAGCATGCGCATCTAGTACTCCAGGTCCTGTTCCAGGCCCAGTCGTGCTCGCTTCCATTGCGAGCCCAGCTCCGCGGGGGGTGCACAGCACACCCAGGCGCGCTGCACCGCCGCCAGCAGGGCGGGCAGGTTGCGGCGGGACGCGGCGGCACCCACCCCCGGGCCCATCTGCACGGTGACGGCACCCACCGCCGCCGCCCCCTCCAGGCTCCAGGACGTGCCAGGGGGGAGCGGCACGGAGGTCAGACAGTCCACCAGCGGACCTAGTGGGGGGTGGTGGGGTGGGTAGTGGGGTGGTGAAATGACCAAGAGCGAGGGGCCAACTGGGGCATGATTCGATGTTGTGTCTGGGTTATGGCCTTCCCTCCATTTCCCACACCCCCCAATACATACACATCTTGCGAGCTGACCAGGAACTAAGTTGATGCGCCGTTGATCCGCTAGATTTGGATGGATGCTGGTGGTGAGTTGCCGAACCCAACGAATACATTCTGAAGTCGGATGGGGTGACGGATTAGGGTGCCCCTCTAGCAGGGGAGAGCAGGGACTGCCCCGGGAAAGGGGGCCGCTGGCGAAGTTAACCACCCTGTAACAACATACATACACATCCCACAGCGTGTGGGGTTGCCATCACACATCTGCCACCGCCATCATAATCGCCATGAACATCATTACAAATTTTTTAACACATAACAATATTTTTACAATTTATCTGAATTTTTAATGCCTGAGCTTTAGCATTGATAGATAATCATTCTTTATCAACTTTCGACAGCTGTGGGGGAATATAGTAGCTAAAAAAGGCATTATACTTGCCACCATCATCACCACCGTCATCGTCACCCCTCCCAAACCCAGGAGAGCCCCCCCCCCCTACTCCCCACCCTACCCGGGGTTTGGGCCCAAAGCGGGGCCGAGCTGCCCAGGGCCAGAGCAGCCCCCCTCTGCCGCCTCCAGCGCTGTCGCTGCCGATTGCTCACGTGGCCGGTCAGGACGTGGCTGTGAAGCTCGGGAGGGGGCGCAGGAGCCCTGCGGTTGACGGTTATTACAGGTGTCAGTTAGCAGTTAAGAGGCTGTAGGAGTCTTTGGTCCGCGGTGGTGGTAACTTTCGGCGGGCGGATTGACGAAGGGGACGGCGTGCGTGCGTGCGTGTGTGTGTGTGTGTGTCTGTGTGCGTACAAGTGTGGATGAATCCGCACTGCAAAAGGTGGATCAGGGGATATTGTACGACATCCACATGTGAAAGGCGCTCCCCCCTCTCCAACACACTCCATCCCACTCCATCCCAAGCTGACTCCGGAGACGCTTAATGTTGGAGGTGACCGATACAAGCAGTGATAGATACAAGCAGTGAAATGTGAGCGCAGTAATGGGACCCGGGGGGGGGGTTCCGGGGGGCTTTGCTGATGTTAACACTTGAGCCCTGCCCATGTAGATGTGGACGGCGCGGAGGGGAGGCGAGGGGAGGCGAGGGGAGGAGGATCAGCAGCCCCTTCCTCCGCCACTGCGGGAGCTACGGATCATAGCTAGCTAGGCCGCTCCTGCCAGTACCTGCATGAGTACATCCTGTACGGACATTAAGGGTCGGACCCCTTGATGTAAATCCCCTTCCCAGTGGGAAGTTCCCACCCACAACCATCCCACCCCTACCCCTACTAAGTCACAAGTAAGGCCAGGTAGTCAAGCAAGCTGTACTTGGTGCTTCACATCCCTCTGCTTTGCATAATCCGCCCAAACCGCCCCCTCACGTTTCTCCATCTCCATCTGCATCTCCATCTCCGCCACCACAGCCACCCAGGGGCCCCCGTCCACAAAACCACACAGGCGCCACAGCGCCCTTCCCCCTTCCCCTCCCCTTTTCCCAACCCCCAACTATCCCACACAAGCCGCACCCACCTGAAGCTCATCCACATCCTCCGCGCCTCCACGTGCGGGGCCCCCCGCGGGTCCAGCAGCGGTGTGCTGAGCCCCAGAGCCCGGTACCGCTCCAGAAGGGTCTCGCGGCTCATGGAGAAGGCGCCAGACAGCTTGGACAGGTCGTCGCTACGGAAACACTGCGGTAAGGAAAGACAGACAGACAGACAGAGACAGACAGACAGACACAGACAGACAGACAGACAGAGACAGACAGACAGGTAGATTTAAACAGCCAACAAGACGCATGGCAGGAAGGATAAAGACGCGAAATAGCCCAAACTTGTAACGACTTGAGGCCCTTTCGGAATTTCACGCAGAAGGGGAAAAGAAGCAACGCATACAAGACAAAGACGCCAACCATCCGTCCAACCATCCATCCAACAAGCCAGTCACACCACACGCCCACTCACACAGACACACATCTCCACTCACACACATACACATTCTCTCTCTCTCTCTTAACCATGAAATTGGTGAACTACAGCCACTAGCACAACTAACACCAGTAGCGCAACAGCCAAAATCCTCCGCCCGCGCCCCCCCTTCCCCCGGTCACCCGCCCCCCGGCCCCGCCTCCACCTCACTCACGAAACCCCCAAAGGGGAGGGGGTAGGTTGTTGCCTGCTTACTTCTAACCCGGCATGAAGCACATTACACTATGTCGTACCTGGGCCAGATAGCCCTGCAAGATAAGGCCCTTGGCTCTGCTGTAGTGGAGGTGGAAGGGCCCGGAGAAGACGAACGGAAGCGTTCGCTGCATCAGCGCCTGGGGGTGAGTGGGTGGGCGGGCGGGTATGTGTGTCTGTGAGTGAGAGAGAGAGAGAGAGAGAATGTGTGTGTGCGTGTGAGTGGAGATGTGTGTCTGTGTGAGTGGGCGTGTGGTGTGACTGAGGGGAAGGTGGCGGGAAAGCAAAACACAGATGCCGAGATATACAATAAAGGGCAGCAATATGGTGGGTGTACACCTGGGGAGCAAGAAGGGGTTGGTAGATAGCGCAGGGGTGGTCAATATCTCCCCATACCCTGCCCTACCCTACACACACCACCCCAACACCCACGTCACTTCCCCCCCTCCCCCCCCGCCAAAGACACCCGTGTTCAACGGCCCCTAAGCCCTTAAACCCACAAACCCACCATCCCAGCCGCACCTTGGGCATCTCCCCAGTCTTCACCGCCGACTCCACATCCGCCGCCGTCACCGCCACCACCGGGGCTCCCGGAACCAGTGTTACGGCGCCCGCACCGCCGCCGCCGCCGCCGCCGCCGCCGCCAGCAGCAGCACCCTGGGCGACTCCCTGCGTCCCGGGTCCCGCCGGCCCGCTGCCGTTCTGTTGCTGCTGCTGGAGCGCCTGTTGCGGGGGCCCCGAACAAGAGAAACGGCCGCCGGGAGTGTCATCGCTTGACACAAGAGATCCATCGGCGCCTGGTGGTTAGTGGCTCCCCCGGCTTTTATGAATGGCCCCCTCCCCCCTCCACTTCATACAAGTGGATACATACAAGTATGAAGCATGCAACTTGTGGGTATGGTCAATTTCAGCCCCCCTCCTCCCCCTCCCCCTCCTCCTGGCCCCCTCCTCCTTTAGACAAACCACTCCCAAGGAAGACGTAATGCGGTAAGATTCTTGGCCTTGAGCTTCCATTAAAGCGTTCTGGGCAACAGGTTTGCATCGTCCCTTTTGATTAAAAAATAATCATTCGGTGCTTTTTTGGACGTATCGGCAAAGTTGACCATCCCTTCGTTTCTCCTCGCATATAACAAAGTTCTCCCCTCCCCGCCCCTCCCCGCCCCCAACCTCTCCCACCTGCATGTGTATACCCAACATCCGCTGCATGGTTTTGTTGACGTGGTTGAGTGCGAGTATGAGGAACCGAGCCCGGCTGATCACCTCCGGGCCACCCAGCAACTCCTGAAAGCATGGGGCGGAGGGACGGGGGAAGGGGGAAGGTGGGGGAAAGATACGAACCACAAACGAGTGAAGAAGCTGCTGCCCCAGGGCAAGAGTGTAGTGCCAGACGTAGAACTGACAGGACCGAGGGCAGGGGGAAGGGGGAACACAAGGCGGATGCCAAGCGGGAAACCGAACAGGAAAATGTTGGAACGGGAAGGGAAGGGGAGAGGGAAGGGGTGGAGAAGGGTCTGGGCAGGGCAGGGCAGGGCAGGGAGGGACGTCCTATCGTACAACCACAAGGATAGGAGGTAGAGGCGGTGGAAACCGGAGGCGAGGGAGCCGCGGGTTGCCGGGCTTGTGGGGTATTGTTCCCCAAAGAAGTTGAGAGGTCGAGTGATTGCCGACATCAAGCATAACAGTTACTGAAGTCCAACGCTATCACGTAACACTGTATGTGTGTGTATGTGCTTTAATGACCTGAGCCGCGGCGAGGAAATGCTGATGGTGAGAGTGTGTGTGTGTGTGTGTGTTTTGGGGGTGCCCACGTTTGAGGGGAGGCCCCGCCTGAGGGGAGGCCCCCTGACGCGGACTGCCTGGTGTTCCGTACACCTTGCTTACCTGTATTGCGGGGTGCATCCCCTGCATCTGGGGCCGCCCCTCGGCTCCGGATTTGTTACCGGCCTTCCCGGGGGCGGAGGAGGGGAGAGGATAGCAGGTGCCGGGGGAGGGGGGAGGGGTCGGCGGGGTCAGTGAGTGTCGGGGGGAGACGTGTGACGGGCTCCACGTTCGGGTGAGACCATACGCGGGCGGCCATGGCATATAACCTCACCCAACCCCGCCCCCTCGCGCCGGTGATCGGGTGCCTGACCACCGTGGCTGCCTTCCCGCCTGCCGTACACAATCTGCTCGCCCTGTAGGGACTTCTCAACCCGGAGGAGCGCCAGCTGAGTGACGAAGTCCGGTCGTACATGGTACGACACATTACGTTCGTACGGTATCTCATAAAAAGCGTGGCTACGGTCCCTTCCTAAGATTAACACAACCCCGTCCGTTGGTACTCGCGGTCTCCGTGGACACGACGCGGTTCTACAACCCAAATTCATCCTGCTCGCTCCGTTTGCCCCGCTCATTAACCCCGCTCCGAAACTCACCCCCAGTAACACCGTCTGGATGTGTTTGATCAAATTATAGTCCGGAAACAATCGGATTAGGGGCATCCAACCCGCCGCCTCCGCACCCAAACCCCCCGATCCTGACGGACCCGTTGATCCCCCCGCTGCCACCCCTCCGCCTGCTGCTGCTGCTGCTGCTGCTCCGCCCTCCTCCCCCTGCTGTGCTGCTGCTGCCGCTGCTGCTGCTGCTGCTGCTGCTGCAGTCTGTTGTGACGCCCGTGCTGCGGCCTTGTCCGCCGCCACCCCCTCGGCCCACAGCTTTAGCCCTGCCAGCATGAGAGTCAGTACCTCCAAAACGAACCAAACCATGTGCGCGGCCATGGTGCACACCTCTGGCTGATTGCTGCATGACGCGTCGCAGTCGAGATGTCGAATTATCAGGCAAACACACACACACGCATACGCACACAGTGTGGATGGGTGGGGGGGTGGGAAGGAGGGGAAGGGAGTCGATAGATTGGGAAAGAACGAGGGGAGGAGGAATCATTACGTAATTGCAAAAAGTGAAAAGGAATTATCCGTGCGTGCCGCCACGCCCCTCCCCCCCACACACGCAAAAACACACACATCTCCCCCCGCACCGCGCCACGCCCCTCCTCACACCGCTTACAGAGAATCCGCCTGATGGCCGTACGTCAGTGCCAGCGTGTCGCTGTACTGCAGGATTCGAGCCCCCGCCAGGAGGTCTGCCGCAAGTACGGCAGCTTGGGGGTGCGGCAGGCGCCGTAGCACCTCCAACTTGACTCTGCGCGGGAATTGATACGAGTGGTACGAATACACGGATGTAAGGCTGGGGTGATGATGGTGGCCGTGGTAATAGCGGCAGTGGTGGTATTGAGAAGCTAGGGGAAGGGGACGGGGAAGGTACGTCGGTGAGCGTTTTCTCCCTCCTCCTGTCGTATCATTTCGACGTACGACATCCAGGTTGCCGCAGCATCGGGCCGCATGGGACCCCGCAGGTCCCCTTGTAAGCCTGGGGGGGGGGGTGTCCCACGGCATGCTAAAACCCTGAAACCCGAAACCACAGCAGTCTGCCTGCCTAATCTCCCCAACGGGTCCTTCCTCCCGCATCCCACCAGTGGAAATGAAAGTTCAAATCGTCAAAACTCGCCCCTCAAATTTTGCAATGCAGTAATAAAAACCTGTAGAATTCAAAGTCTGGATGAAATTTTGTGTTAGAAGTTAGTTATAAGTTGTGGAACAACAACTTGCCGGGTCATGTGCTGCGCCAGTGCGACCCGCCACGACGGATCCTCCGTGCCGTACAGCAGACCGTCCAGCTGATCCAGGCTACGGCACACGTGCTCGGTACGACCAGCCAGCCAGGCGCAGCGCAACCGCTCGGCCACATCCCACACGCTGTCGATAGGTAACGGCAAGGCGGATCATATGATTACGACGGTCATTCGACAAAGGCAACTTGGGGGCGGTGTATTACGGCATGTGTGTCTTGAACTCGCATTGTTGCGGCCGGAGGAAGGATTTCATGCCGAAGGGCAGTGTCAGCAACGCCAGGCAAACCGGCAGATTGACTAGGAGACGTACGTGCCAGCCGACATGCAGACAGACAGACAGACGGACGAGATGGACAGTTGGGCAGCCGGGTGACAGCGGGTGACTGAGCAGCAGCAGCAGCAGCAACAGCAGCAGCAGCAAGCAGTAGAAACACATGCATGCATACATACATACTTTCGCACACACCTGAGCCGATGCAACGCGGCCCATGCTAACCGCATGGTGTCCATGTTGCAGGCGATCGTGTCCTCAATGCGCTCAAAGGTGGCAGCGCCGCCAGCAGCGGCAGCGGAGCCAGACGGCGGCGGTACGACGTCCGGGACCGTACAGATGTTGAGCATCAACACGTCACCGCCGTCGCCATCACCGACCCCACCACCGAAGCCACCGCCGCCGCCGTCGTCAGGAAGCCAATCACACAGGTCACCACCATCACCGTGCTGCCGTACAACTCGTACGACAGAGCAGAGGCAGCAGCTGTTCGAGGATAGACAGCCCGTCGCCGCATGTACCACCGACTGCTGCGCCGCCGCCGCCGCCATCGCTTCCGGCGACGGCGCAAGGACGCCATTTCCATTTCCGTACATATTGCCGTACAGGCTTCCCGGCAGCGTAGCGGGAGCTGTGTCCCGAGCGAGTCCGTGGACTCGTCCTGCAGCATGGTTGGGAAAATAGAAGGGAGGGGAAGCTGGGATATAATACACTAACAGGTGGATATAATACATTAACTCCAGGGGGGAATCGTATGCACGGAAACCAGCAATGAACTGCCGGCGTTTAAAGTACTTCAGTCCAGGGGGGGAGAAACACATGCGAGAAGAGGGAAGTGAACTGCCGGTGTCCAACTCCAGGGGGGCCGGTACCTTTGTAGTGACCGGACGTCCTGTGTGACACCGGACACAACAACTTCACACAGAATATTCCTCTCGGTAACTAACCGGCACGCACACGCACCCATGTCTTTGACTGCCAGCACGGCCAGCGTTTCCGAGTCAAGCGTGTACAGCAACGATCCGTACGGCACCACCAGCTTGGATCCATCGGTGGAGATTCCAAGGTCCGAGGAGGGCCCATCTGCCGTCGCTCCCCCGGCGCTGGCGGCGCCGCCGGCTACCGTGCCGTACGACTCCATGAGCTGCTGTGACGAGCGCTCGACACGCCAGCTGCCAGTCACGGCCCCGCCTCCACCGCCCTTATCGTCCAGCGTCTCTGAGAAGCAGAAAACTATCGCCGGCTTCAACTCCTGTTGCTGCGGGTGTTGTTGCTGCGGTGGGGGGTTGGCCCAGCCAGGTATCCCGGCGTGCAATGACGACGACGGCGATCTATGCGCCAGGACAAAGAGCCGCTTGATTGCAGCACCGTACAGATACATACGACATTGCCGTACGGAAAGCCCCTGGGGCACCGCCAGACGAGCCTGAGGTGGGCGGCGGTGCATGCGATGGAGCGTAAGAAAGAGCTTTAATAACCTGAATCATGTTGTGCCGTGCCATGCAGTGTTATGTCAATTCGTCAATTCCAGTGCAAGAGGAAAGGGATTGGAAATAATGGTATATACTGTAATGCGGAATACAGTGGAGTAGAGTAGGTGTGGACAAAGAAATGACTTTGAATCATACATGGAGGCGCCAGGTAAGCAAGCAGGCAGATAGAGCCAGTCGGGCGAACAGATTCAAAAGCAACGGGGGAGCGCGGCCTCGGAGCCACCTCCCAACGTGCTGCTCTGTATCCGCTCAAGTCACTGCGGCCCATCTTGTCATGATTAACACGAAGACATACACACATAGATACATACATACATACATGCATGCATGCACGAATCTCGGTGAGCAAAAAAAAACGGCCCTTTTCATAACGTGGTACATCCGTACGACATGGTATAATCCTAAAACGAAAAAGATGTATCGCGAAACACTTTCATGGGCTAGAGCGAGTTGGAGAGGACTCGACGGGAAATCCTCGACTGCTGTGTAATAGCACTGCTGTGTAATAGCACTGCGGTGTAATAGCACTGCGGTGTAATAGCACTGCGGTGTAATAGCACTGCGGTGTAATAGCACTGCGGTGTAATAGCACCCCCCGACCGCAGTGACCCCCGCCGTGAGCCCGGGACAGCCGCCTGGAGGCGTGCCAGTGCCAGTGCCAGTGCCCACTCACCGTCATGGCCACGGTCGGCGGCGGCACCAACGGGGTTTCCCGGCACATGGACCGATCCCCACCGCCGCCACCTCCACCTCCACCTGCCGTGGCCACGGCGCCCGGCTGCGTCACGAGCTGCCCGTTCAGCGTAGGATTGCCGCGCATGCCGTACATGTACACCGTATCGCGCCTCTTGCCGTACACCGCCGCCACCGCCAAGCTGCCATCGTGTACGGCACACATGGACGCACGGGCGATGTGCCATTCCGTCGATGCGCCGCCGCCGGGCTGCTCTGCGGTGGCGGTGGCGGCGCCATCGGCGCCGCCGTCGGCTGTCGCCTCTGCCGCCTCCGGCGGTGGCGGTATCCGCACGCTTTTAGAACGATACCAGGATAACGTGTTGGGCAGCTTTGACGCCATGACCCAGAGAATGGTGAGCGAGCCGCTTGCCGTAAGGACAGCTGCGGTTAGCTGATGTGGCCGCGCCCAATGGGGGACTGCCTGCGGGGCGACAGGAGGGCCAAGAGGGCCTCGAGAGCAACATCCAGAGCCTCATCTCTTTCGCTCATCGATCGCCCAATCAGGCTGTACGTGCTTTTTACCCCTCCCCCCCTCTCTCCACCGTTCATTTCCCTTTCCCTTGTTCAAACAACGGCGCCCTTCACCCACCCAAACCCCCCTAAACCACCAACAGGTGGCAGCGCCGCCCATCCCTGCGACACACTACACGTTCTGCAACCTGCAACCTGCACACCCCTCGCTTTCCACGTGTGAGTCTTGAGCCTGCGCTTTCCACGCTTGCTTGCCTGCTCAGCTACATTGCTCAGTCTTTGTAGCTGTCAGGTTTTTCACCCTGACCCTGCATGATGCCGCTCTCAGTTCCCGAGGAGCATGGTGGTTCTCACCCGCTTCTCGCGCATCTCTCAACACACAGCACGTGGACGAGACATGAACAAACCGCACAGGACATGGACACCCGACACGAGCCCTATTACAACCCCTGTGCGATGCCCAGCCGCATCCTTCCAACCCTCCTCACCCCCCCACACCGCGCACCCGCAGCAAACCCGCACTTGCTATATCCTTTACCTAGCTTGTGCGGCTCTAAGAAGGCTCTTGGGCCTACACCAGCCCGTGTGTGGGCGCTCCTCGTTACACTTCCCCATCTGGGTAACTAACGTAACCGAGGTGTAACCCACACACACTTAATTTCCAACACCTACCAACACTCTCCACAGACACATGCACAAATACAAAATACCATTGGTAAGCTGCAGCGGCGCCACTCACCCCCGGCGCCATCGCCTCATCCGAGAACAGCGTGTCGAAACTTTGGGCCGGTTCGGTTCGGCCCGGCCCCGCCGAACCGCCGCCGTCATCCCCCAAGGGGTCAAACCGCTTCATCGCCAGTGCAGATGTGCTCCACGTCCGACCCGCCACCGGTTGCCGCAGCCAACACACTCCCGCTAGCGCGGGCTGCATCCGCGGCGTGGGGCTGCGGTAGGGCTGCTGCTGCTGCTGCGATCGATGCGCCACGTCGCCACCAGGCGTCCTGCCGAACCCTGCTGCTGCTGTTGCTGCTGGCGTGCCGTCAAGTTGTTCATACCCCGGCTCCTGTTTAACATGATGCGGCGTGGAGCTGGCGGAGCCGAAACTGCTAGGACGGGCCCCTGGTTCTTGCTTCACGGACGGCTGGTGCTGCGGCTGCTTGTTGGCATTGGGGTTGCTGCTTCCGGCACCGCCGGCAGCGGCGCTTCTGCCTGCGGGTCCTGCGTCTAACAGCAGCTGCCCGTGCCAGTCGTCTATGCAGCGGGGGGACACCGCATCGTCTTGCCCCTGCAAGCCGTGTACAGCACCACGCGCACGGGAGGCTATCGATATGTCTGTCTGTTTACCTGTGTGTGTGTTTTGATGTATGATGAAACCACGTGCGCATATAGGTTGTAATGTCGCGCGGTGTGATGGAAGGCGTGCGCAGGTGATAGCAAGCATGATTCATTTTTGGAAACGATCCCGACAGCCCGGGGAACACGCGCTCACGTGCAAGATAACTCAATGACGGGTCGGTCAAGCGCAACCGGACCAGGGGTTCACAGGTCAAGGACGACTGACGCGCGCTCCCATTCCGAGCCACGTCAGCGCCTCTAGATGGCGACCCAGATCGCACCTGCTGCGATGGCTGCGTCCAAACCACCACGCGGCCTGAGGCGGTGGCACTCAGCAAGGCCCGCCGCTGGCCGGGCCAGGACCACTCCAGGGAGGTAACCCAGTCAGAAGGACCTTCAGTAAAACACACACGCAGAATACGAGGAACACGCATCCAAATCACACGCATGGCCACCGGGGGACACGAGCTGGGATGGCGCAGTGTGGGAAGTGAAAACGGATCCGTGCTGGCCAGGGGCCCATTGCGGCGTCGAGGCAGTGACTGCAAGGAGCATGTATGTACGCATACGACGTGTAGGGAAAGGCGAGGTGGCGAACAGGAGTGTGGGGTGCTGCGCGACTTGGTCGTGTGCAGCGTGTGGTGCGCTGTGGAGGGTAGGAAAGGGCTGCTCGCTGCCGACAGGCGCAGGGCCCTTTCCTAATGCCACCGTGCAAAAGCAGCGAGTGGCTGCTGCCTACAAGCTGCAGCCGTCGTCTGCACCCCACCCACCGGCCATGGGTAGCTCCAACCGTGTGACATCCTCTGGATAGGAGGGTTCTATGATGAGAATCGGTGCGGTATTGCTGCCCGGTTCGGGGGTCAAGGCCACGGCCAGTAAGTTACTGATGCTACACCATGCGGACTGTGTCGGGGATGCTGAGCTGGCTGGCAGCTGGACAGAGCACAGCTGACCAGAAGCCTCGTGCTCTGAGGAGATGAAGGTGTCGTCAGGGGTATGCGGGGCATGCACCAAGGAGGGGTGTTGGAATGGCTGTGCGGCGATCGCAGATGTCGGGGCTGGGCCGGGCTGCGGTGGATTCCCGACACCAGTGAAAGGCATTCCCGAAGCCATATCATCGGTCCCATAGTTTGACGCATTGTTGTGCATCGCGGGTGTCCTGAAAAAACTGCCTGAGCAAAAACTCAAGCCCACCGAATTTGAGCAAGGACCACCCTTGCCATATAATTGTGAATCGATAAACTATATAGAAGCCATACTTGGCAGCTTTTTGTCGTTGTGACAACACCAAAGCAAGTGAAAGCAAAATACACCTCCCCTCGTAAGCGAAGATGGTTAACACCTGCACATGGACTCAATAGCTGCATGTCATGCGGGGAACAAAGCCAGCTGGCAGCTTCCTGTCCAACTGGCTCCGGAAACATGTACGGACACCAACATGAGAAAGCCAGAGAGCCACACAGTACCGTTTGTAGGACATTACTTTGCTGCACCGGTTTTCAAGAGGCCGGGGTCTCCCCGAAGGCCTATACGCCTCGCTCATTGCCTCACTCTTGAGCTATTGGTTATCCTCAGCGCTTCATCGGGCGTCAGTATCCTACTTTACGTCTGCTGAAACCTGTCGAGCTACTTCTAGGCTGAGGCAGTAGTTGGTTTCCGTCCAGGTAAGCGTCGCCTCACGGTCGCATCTTGCGGGTTCGTCACATACACCGGTGTAGGCAGTGGTTCCTTTTTAAATGTGAAAAGACTGCCTCTCCGTTGTACTGAATTTGAGGTCTCTTAAACCTGCTTGTCTGTAACTCACAAAATGCTGCGCTTGTTATCTGGCGCGTGCCACAGGGCTTTGGAGTAGGTATGGGTGTGGCTTATGTAGCCTACCAAGTTGTTCTCGGTGCTCCGCATTGGCAAGTCCCAAGCAGTAGGTATCCGCTAGTATTTCAACGAGGGCAAAATGCCTTAGTCCGAGCGAACTGCGCATCGGTGGGTGCATCGCTTCCTTCGGGGCGCGCTGTTCCTGCTTCCGATCGTCCTCAGCAGCAGCGCGTGCGCCTTGGTGCATCAAATGGGAACAGCGCTGGCTCAGGAGGCGGTGATGTGCGGACTTCTAACGGTGTTGTTACCTCGGCTGCAGTGGTTACCTCGGTGCCTAGCACGCAGCAGGATTCCAGCAGCATTGTCGTTACGGCTGTGAGGCCATCACCGAAGCGGCAACAAACGGAGCCTGCGTTTGCACCGGTGCCCGAGGACGTGATTGCCGAATTCGAACACAAGTTAGAAGCAGACCTCCAAACAGTTGGTGTTACTCTGCTTGCTATCCTTGGCGTCATCATCTTTTGGCGGGGTGTATGGGCATTGCTGGACCACTTTGTTGGCGATTCGGTTGTGGGCGATATATGTTGCATTATCGTTGGCCTTACAATAGTCCTGTACATCCGGCTTTCTGGGATGAAAATAGCAAGTTTCTGGCCGCCAAGCTAACGGCAAGCTCTGGACCTGTGTATGGGCTGCGTGTCGGGTTGGGTTCACCAAATCGAGTGGAGGGCGAGGGAAAATAGCTTACTGTAGATCCGAAGAACATAGTGAGAGGCCCTGATATCCTCGCGGAGTTGGGAACTAGGTTGCGGCCCTGCGCCTTGTCAGCCGATCGTGTTGGGGCTGAATTGTGTTACAGCTGAGTGCGCAGGCTTAGTGTTAGGAAACAGAGCAGGCATGTTGCTAGTGTAAATATGACGAATTATTTGATGCAGGGATGTCTTCATGTCATACTCTCGGCGTTGTTCTTGTGTTGCGTATCTTGATTGTGTGTCCCAAACCCTTTGAGTTCTTGCCGTACATGGGGCTGCTGCTGCATCGCGTATTTTATTGGGCCTCGAGGCAAGTCCTAAATACTTATGTATCTTTGTCGTTACGACATATTCTTGAGGGTTAAATGTAGTGTTTACGTTGTTGGCCTTGCAATTAAGGCCTATATCAGAACGAGCAGGGGAGAATGGTCACTCGTTTTCCCCTGCGAACGAGTGACCGTTTAGACGTATTTGGGCTTCTCGGTTTGCGTGGTTCTGGTGGTAAAAAAATGGTTATGCCCGACAGGACAGTCCACTGTATAAATGTAATGATCGTAATCTTTTGATGGCAAATGAGTTGTCGTTCAGAAAATTACACAAAAATCGATCAGATTCTTTAACGCCAGTAACCTACAAGGGGGCCCACCAAACACCGCTACTACAGGAAAGTGATGAAGGTTACATAGTAATGTAATCCGCATTACTTTCATGCTCAGTACTCGGACGGGGTCTACCCTACAATCGCTCGGCGGCCACTGGTTAGACAGGTGAACCGCAGACCTGCCCCGATCACATGTCGCGTTCACCCAGGTCAATCCGATGAAGCCACCCAGGCTATGGATTTACCCCACAGCGCATACCTGGGTATATCCCGCATAGACTGCGCCTGTAGCACTGCAAACCTCATTCATTGCTATAAAGAGACTAGAAGCCCAAGGCCCGCCCTACCTTAAGTCCTGCCTGCTCGACAGAGTTCAAGTAAAACATTTGTCATAGTACAAGATTGCCGTGAAAGGCCCAAACACTCCCTCATGCAATTCTCATAACTCACTAAGACCAACCGTCGGTCGTTACGACATCAGGCATACACGGGTAGCTGACTGCCAGGAATCCAAACGTGTCATCCCTGTTCCACAAAAAGACCCTTCAACCAGTTGTAAGCCTTATGCCCTTGTTCACTAAATACTACCCTCAATTCATGAAGGTCACAGTTTATTACATACTCAGTGTCAACCCCTCAATTCACCAATCCGAGGAGCTTCCCATGTCACTGGCCGCCGAGCAGTTTGGGGTCAGCATGCGCTCGAATCCACGGGTCGTTCTCCACTTCAGTGAGTGGCAATCGCTGGCTGGCGTCCTTGATGAGTAGCTACACAAAAAAGGAAAAAAGGTCGGAGGCGCGGAGGGCAAGGTCGCGCTCACAGCGGCAACGGGTTTTGGTGGCGGATTAGGGAGCAGACAAGCTGTGCCGCAAGCAAGGTTCACGCCAGGTAGACCGGCGCGGGAACCTGTGAAAGAGAACATTTCCCCTGGCGCAAGGCATATGACGTTTCGCGGATGCACACCTTACCTTACGAATGAACGCCTTGGCCTCATCGGACACATCGGGCGTATCCGGGAAGCGGAGATCCACCCCAACGATCCTGTTTCGAAGGGAGGCGTCATAGGTGCGTCCAATTGAGTTATTACAGGCGCAGAGAGCACGTTGACTAAGCACGTAACACCGAGGCAAGGCAAGTGATCCACATGAAGTGTAACTGTTACGTTCGCGGGAATACTGCTTAACACATCTTTCCGGGTTATGACCCTCCAGTGGCGTTCAATTGGCTGGAGTTTGTTGGAGCAGGTGGTTGCCTGCTACCTCGTTCGTTCCACTGCCCTACCGCTTGTAGGTGTCTTGGTGCCCGGGCGCCTCGAAGGGTGGGCCGCCGAACAGGAACTCGTACGTGAGTACGCCTAAGCTCCAGTTGTCCACCGCCGTGGTGTGAACCTTCCCCTCCACCATCTCTGGTGGCAGATAGTCCAACGTGCCGCACAGGGTCCGACGCCTAGCACATGAACCGCAAGACATGGACAGATGCCGCTTAGCGCATGGCAGCTTCCCTGGCTGCTTATAGTTTTGCACATGTACTTTCTGTGGGCCCCAACGAAATGTATTTTATGTATGGAAAGTCTAGAACGGAATATTGAAGGAGGAAGGGAGTCACCTGTTGCTAGGCGCATGGACGGACCAGCCGAAGTCGCTGATCTTCAGTTCGCCACCGAGTCCAAGCAGCAGATTCTCCGGCTTGATGTCACGGTGGATGACGTGATGGATATGGCAGTAATGCAGCGCTCGTGCCAACGACAGGATGTAGCTGTACGGCACAAGGCAGTGCAGGAATGATGATAGGTGAGTGGGTTGCCGTAACAGGCAAGTATATGTGGAGCTGCAGAAGCCTTCTGGGCAAGCACGCTAGCTCCTCACCTTCTCACGTGGGATGAGCGTCCCCGGTAAGGCATAGCGCATGGCAAGGTTCTGCATCAGGTGCGGGGTCTTACCTGGCCGACCTGCGCTCATCAAAGTGGGTACAGGCGACCAGCTCCTTGTACAGCTCGCCTCGCGCGGCATACTCGAGGATAAGATACACTTTCTCCTGCAATTCGCCAAGTACCAGAGACAACGGGGCCTCAGCACAGCACGTGCCTGTAATGCTCGTGGAGTACGGCTTCTGGACAGCTCTTGCCTCCATGCAAGCATGGGCTGGAAGAAGTCATGACGCCTGAGTAGTTTGAAGCACGCACACGCACACACACATACGTATGTGTTAATCTCACCCCAGCCCCAAATAGGCTCGCGCCGCATTGCATCGGGGAACATGCGACAAATCGAGGTGATTCCGTGCTTATGCCATACCTCGTCATAGAAGAAACCGTACAGACGCAGAATGTTGGGGTGGCGCAAGTGGGCCTGTATTTCAATTTCCCGGCGAAGCTGATGCTCCACATTTGAGTGCTGTAGCTGGATCTTGAACAGAACCTTTTCAGAGGGTCACAATACAATGCTTTCACGCCTTCATCCTCTGCACAACCAACATCCAACTTTGTGTCACCTAGCTCCTCACCTTCAAGGCAACTATGAACTTGCTTTGCTTTTCCCTAGCAAGGTAGACGTTGCCAAACTTGCCCTTGCCCAGCGGCTTCCCAATTTCGAAGTCATCGATTGTCCACTGCCGGCTGGTGCTAGCTGCGCTGTTCTGGGCATTTTGACCAGTGTCCCCTCGTACTGCTTTCTGATCCCCTTGCTCATCCTGTTGACGCCGTTTTGCGCCCCCTTGGGCGGGTTTGCCGGGTGCATGGACGGCAGTCTTGGCAAAGTTGGATGGTTTTAAAGGTTGCTGCATCCTGTGCCTACGAAATTCAAAGTTCTCTTGCGAGGTCAAATACTGTGAACGAAAGTGCAATTTGCTTTTGTGGGTCTAGGGATACTAGAATCCAAAAGGATGATATGGACAGACGTAGCTATTTCATGAATACAGTAAAACTCTACCAACGCTGATTGAATGTGCGTGTATATAGGCATAGCCAGTAGCAGATTCGGCTGCGCATGCGTCGGCGTACGGATGCCCGAAAGCTGCTAGGCAGCGTCGACAATGTGTTGACATGGCTGCCGAGTGCTTAGAAATATATATCTTTATTGGTTAGGTATCTCATGTGACACTGCTTACCGTAAGCTTCGTCGGAAGGTTGACAAGAAATGTCGGACGCAGGCGCCTTCCGCAACCCTCTTTCCTTCAAGCGCATGCAATAAGCATATATCGAGCTTGCACGGGCATGGGAAGAAGGAGGTTAAGATACAGGGGCCGCCGTGTGTCAGCTCTACCTGTCACGTGGTGCTTCCATGGTACGTGCCTCCCATTCGGCATTGCCTCCGAAGTCAACAAAAGGCATCACCGCCTTACATCCGATACAATCCAGGCTGAGGTTTCATGCCAGTCCCATGCCATGCTCACGGAACCTGCCTGGCGGTACCACCCTAACGCCGATTATCTGTCCTACCTCGTGCCACCGACATCCAGTAGTATGAACTAATTGGCCTGGACAGCTACGGAAATATGGAAACGCCATCGCGGCACATTTGAAAGAAAGAAGGAAAGGAGAGGCCGCGGGCTGCAGCCTAGGGCACAGCACGAAGGACACGCCTGGGCAACGGTACCGTGCGCCAGCCCACGGCACACAAAACCCGGGAAAAACGACATTGATTTAGATCCTGACATGGTAACGGGGTCGTTGAATGCCGGGTTCGCGTAGGACGATACATATCTGCATCAGCTGCTCTGCGCTTTGTTAGGTCAAGGAGGCCTCAAGTTCTCGCCCTCCATGCGCGCATACCCCTGGCTGCAATGCCATACACTAATCCTTCGACGTCGATGTACAGGGGGCACACATCTGGTCTGCCAGACCCCACGGCTGATTGTACGGGCCCCCAACGACATGAATTGGTTGACGTGAGTCCCCCTCACCACGGATGGTCAGATGAATCGTCCGTCCGGGGAAGGAGATGAACGCCTAAAACAACATATAATCATAGTTGCAAAAACATTGCCGCAGCTACGCCCGGAAAGTGGAAAGCATTTCTTCTGCCCACAGTTGTCGTTTCCACTGTGGCAATCAATACCTGTCAGCCCCAAATGCACTGGAACCGCAGAAGAATGTTCGGTGTTGGACTAAGGTTGGTTGCTGGATCCATGCATGGCCTTGACGATAACCTCAGCGCCCCATTGCACCACATCTTATTAAAAAACACGAGGGGCGTTTGCGCCCGGAATGTCTTAACTAACAGCAAACCCATGAAGCATGCCGATCGGTGTCCAAGCAAGCGCCGCATGCGTGAGCCTCGGTGCAGAAGGCAAGCTGAGTACACGGGTGCCCGTAACCACCACAAACAATGATCGCCTTCTCAGCGGTACACGCACAGACGAAACGAGACCAGGTCGGTCTGCAATCCGAGTACTACATCTTCACCAATCGGAGGAGCTTTCCATGTCACTGGCCGCCGAGCAGTTTGGGGTCAGCATGCGCTCGAATCCACGGGTCGTTCTCCACTTCAGTGAGTGGCAATCGCTGGCTAGCGTCCTTGATGAGTAGCTACACAAAAGAGGAAAAACGGTCGGAAGCGCGGAGGGCAAGGTCACGCTCACAGCGGCAACGGGTTTTGATGGCGGATTAGGAAGCAGATATCAGTCGGAAAGACGGATGCCGCAAGGCTAAAGGCCTGTGCACAGATCACATAAATTACGAGTGCAGATATATAAGGATCGCAACGCCCGGCGGGCGCCTCACACACCTTACGGATGAATGCCTTGGCCTCAGGGGATACCTCCGGCGAATCCGGAAAGCGTAAATCTACTTTGCTGATCCTGTTGACGGTGGTGTTGCGAGCGCATCCAAAGGGGGGAATCAGCTCAGATTCGCGAACCCAGGCTACCCTCGAGTGCGAGCCCTCAATGGGTAACGGTTACCATTCGTATGACATAGCTATCATAAGCGGAAATAATGCTACACGCATGGCAAACAGTCTCTGGTTATGGCCAGATCGTGAAGTGATGGTACTTAAATACCCGCTACCGCGCTTCGTGTTTGCCCTGCAAGCCCGTTCGTGCTCCCTGCTCTACCGCTTGTAGGTGTCATAGTGGTCCGGCGCCTCGAAGGGTGGGCCGCCGAACAGGAACTCGTACGTGAGAACACCTAAGCACCAATTATCCACCGCGCTGGTGTGAATCTTGTGCTCCACCATCTCTGGCGACAGATAGTCCAACGTGCCGCACATCGTCCGGCGCCTAGCACATGGATACCAAGGCGCGACCCAACGCCTTTCAGGTCGACATAAAATTCCTGGGTGCCAAAATATTCCGTGCGGGTTTCATTTCGTGGCATGATGCAGGCGAATCCGTGACAGCACGCAATGTGGGTCTCCTGGGAGCCACTATTAAGGTTCACCCGGCGCTCACCTGTTGCTAGGCGCATGGACGGACCAGCCGAAGTCGGCAAGCTTAAGTTCGCCATCGAGTCCAAGCAGCAGATTCTCCGGCTTGATGTCACGGTGGATGACGTTATGGCTATGGCAGTATTGCAGCGCTCGTGCCAATGACAGGATGTAGCTGTACGGCACAAGGCAGTGCAGGAATGATGACAGGTGAGTGAGTGGGCTAGTTCAACAAAATGCAGGGCCGGTTGATGGGAGACAGTTGCCCCTTGCATGCAGATCCTTTAGAAGTAGGGCTCTTGGTCCTCCGCGCCAACTCACACAGATCCCAGAAAGGATGATATTTCGGAGCACAGGCATTGCACTTCACTGCAGCGGGCACAGGGTCTTACCTGGCCGACCTGCTCTCGCCGAAATGGGTACAGCAAACCAGCTCCTTGTAGAGCTCGCCTCGCGCTGCGTACTCGAGGACCATGTACAACTTATCCTGCGCGAAGGCGGCTCCAGGTCACAAACTGACTTTTGCCATATTTTGGCGATCTTTCTGCTTTGTGTAAACCCGGGAGAAATCCGACGGGGGGGAGAAATCCGACCTGTCTACGCAAGAGGCACATCTTGAATCAAGTCTCATACAGCGGCTTTCCGTACCCGGGAGCAAACAGGCTGGTGCGGCACTTGACGGGGAGGGCCAGAGCGCGCGGCGGAGATTTGCAAAATGAGCACATGCACATGACACGACGTTTCACACCTTGTCGTAGAAGTATCCATAGAGCTGAAGAATGTTCGGGTGGCACAAATGAGCCTGAATCTCAATCTCGCGGCGAATCTGCTGCTCCACGTTTGAATCCTGGAGTTGGCTCTTGAACAGTACCTGTCCAAGCGACCGGGACCCAATGCCTTGTCGCACCCAATCTCAGCTTGAACACACCAGCCAGCACTGCGCTGTCTTTTCCGCACCTTCAGGGCGACCACGAACTTGCTTTGCCTTTCCCTAGCAAGGTAGACGTTGCCAAACTTGCCCTTCCCTAGCGCTTTCCCGATTTCGAAGTCATCAAGGGTCCATCGCCGGCTGGTGCTAGCTGTGCTGTTTCCTGTATTTTGACCAGCATCTGCATTTGATGCCTTGAAGGTGCCTCGCTCATCTTGCTGAAGCCCATTGTGTTCTCCTTGCGACAGCTTGGCGGTTGCTTGTGCACCAGTATTGACCAAATTTGATGATTTCAAAGGTTGAAGCATTTTTATGTTTTGCAATCCAAAATTATTCTGTGCGTAAGGACACAAGGGAGTTCGGGGATTGCCTCGCGTAAAGGTTAAATCCAAAAATAGGACTTCGACAGACGTGCTTCTTTGTTCACCAGACATAGAGGTCCATCAGCTTGGACCACAGCTGATGGTAACATATATAACAGATGACAGCGGGACGGGTTATGAGATGAAAATCCAGGTAACGTGACCGTACGGATAGCCTGAAGCTATTACAGCTGACTATGGTATCATCCTGAGAAGGATTCTGGGTGACTTCCTTTTGGTTCCCCATCCCTTTACTTCCCCAGTCGCACGCCCAACGGCATGCCTTCATGCTTGTGCGGGTTGGAAAGGCAGCTTCTCAAGGCGCCTCAGCATGCCCAGTACTACCCGTGCACGCGCTTCTTGCTGTAGACCTACCTCCTTCCAAAGGAGCTTTCTCGCCCATCCTGTGACGGCAACATCGTTATACACAGTCACATACCCAAACCCTTGGCTTCACGCAATCCGTTGGCCCTACTATCTACTCGCAAGCGATGTTGCATTGATTTTTTAAGGTTGTCGCACTGTTGACGGACCCTGCGAATACAACGAGCACGTTCGCGACGATTAGCCCTTAATATGCCCCTGCACGGAAGCCATGGCTTACGTGCGGATACAATGGCGTCCAGGTGAAGCCCAGTTGAATCGGTGACGGTGCTCGTCCGTTACACATCAGCACCAGTTTGTTACATTCACCTATGGATGCACCCTTAACAAAAGCAGGTCAGCAGCAAACGATAAGAGCCTAACTGCAGAATCGCGTGACTCGTTGCAAACATACAGATCCTTAATTGCACCAACATGGTCCCGACTGCCGTACAACACGAATACGGCAGGAAAAGTAGGAGGTCAGATGCATATGAATTAGACACTTTAAAAAATTGCTCATGGTAAGGAAAGCAGCAAAGGATAAGATAAGAAAAAAACATGTCGCCCTGCAGGACTCTTTTCTGTCTGCAGCTGGAAATGCTGTTTATATCCTATTGCCAACCTACTGCTAAGTAGTGCCACTAATCCATTGCTAATGATGCCTCGAAGCCGCTAGTAATATTAGTTCAATCACCCGCCGCTATGCCTTAAACACATCACCCGCACACGTTCACTACAGCGGTGGGGCAGCACCCAGCACAAGTTGTACAAAAAACGTTTTCGCGCCCGTCCAGATACTTCCGCCTGTCAGTTGTTATGTCGACTGCTCTGCGCATCGCCGAGCACTGCTCTCCGCTCAGGTTAGTAAGTCACTATCCAGTCATGAAACAAAGCCGCGACTGCCTGCCCCAGCAACGACAGACTTCCTGGCCAGGAAACGTCCTAAAGCATAACGGAGCGCTATAAATGATCAGTTGACTGCCTGCGTCAAAAAGGGTTCTGCGTCGCTAACAACACCATCAGCAATAAGTAAAAACCCATAAAACATGCCGTCACGCGCCACACGCACGGAATTATGCAGATTCGTAAATTGCCAAGTCGCGCGCATTCTGGCTCCTCATTTTCTCCCGTGTATCAGTCCACGCGCACCTACGTGTACCTAATGCTGTCAGACTCGTCAAAGGAAATAGCATGAAGATGTGCGCTTAAATGCCCTCTGCCCACTTCGCATCCAGCACGTCGCCTTGAACCAGACGCATTTGAGTGCTCAGGATGCTGTGCGCGTACAGGGCGCCTGGGCATCTAAAACAGGGGGACGGACCCAGCTCCCCTACAGATGCGTTTCCCAGCGTCTGTAGGCGTGTCCTTCCCCTCACTCGTGATGCCTTGCGCTGGACTCATTACACCTCACGAGTTTTGCGTGCAGCTGTTAGGAACCGTTTGGACACTTGCGCCGTGATGTCGGTGATGAGCCAATGTTGGAGCTCCGATGTCTCACGGGCTCGCAGCGAGAGTCCACGCTTCCGGTCCGCCGCCGCCCGAGCCTCTGCACAAAGGCTTGTCCACGTCACAGCATTGGATTGTTGCATAGGGACTTGGTGTGTCCGTTCTCCAATCGTGCAGGCGCTTTGGGTCGTTGAGCCGATGTACGTATGCCAGGCAGAGCTCTCTGTCGCTATAGATGCAGCATCTCCAGGTTGCGACGATCCAGACGAGCAGCTGCCTGAGCTGATACGTTTTTCACGATACCTGACCAAGCCTGCCTGTAATGGCCCCATCCGCTGGACGTCCGACATCTTTGGAGTGGAAGCTTCCCAAAATTTGATTGATGCGCAGTTCACCTATCTTCAAGTCTTTGTTGTGTCTATTTAATTGTTATCTTCAGTAAGTGTTGGAGGACAATGACTTGGCAGATACGGTCACGGACTTCTTCCCAGCTTGTGCATTGCGCAATTGTTATGAGCGATGCTTATTATATGTACATTACGGTCTATGCTTCAAAAGAAATTGCGCTTCCTTGGAAAGTCCGTTGTGCTGTCAGTAGCAAACCGAAACGGTTAGTGCAACTGTTGCTGGATTACTAGCTCCCCAGTTGCATTACATTAGCATGCAGCTTGAATTGCTTTTTTACAAGTTTCAAAACATACAATTACAGGGCTACAATCACCGAGCTTGATCGTCTTGTTAGCCTCAGCCGGTACCCTTTTCCCGATGGCGACCACGACTCTTTGAAAACAGGAACCCAAAATATAGTTGGTGTTGTGATGACGTTTGGGCGATGGTGTCTACTGCGACATGCGTGCCGATGCGAAGCACGGGTGGCGGGTTGGCACTTTGCAGTCGTAACACATCTCTAGTGAGGAAAGCGGCGCCACTAAATTCTTTTCTAATGAACAATAACCTCCGCAATTTCTATGGGGCCCTGCGTCATCCTGGCTGCATAGTATATGACTTGCCGGCGCCCCCGTCCACAAAGCCCTACCGCATGAGCGCACCCCAAATGCACGTCATCATCCTTCTTAAAGTCAGGCCCCTGCACGAATTCACAATGTCTGTAGATCCTGCCAGGCCTTCAGCCACAACTAAGGCCAACCCTGTTTACATAGTGTTTCATATCAAGGGAAAATTGCAACGATGTGCTGCACACGCTCCGTTTTGCAATTTCAGGCAGAGGGCATGCCCTGACGTTCGGTTTGAAACCCTAGCCACTGGCGCTGTCTTGTCGCCTAGCTACCTTGTCCATGCGCCCTCGGGGATGGGTTCGCTTAGGTGCCTGTACGATCCCTGTGCCGTATTGGGGAATCTAGCTGCGGAAGGGTGGACGTGGCTGGAACCGTCCCCGCTCCGGTTGCCAGGCCGGCAGGGGCATGCAGGCAAGAAGAACGCAACGCACCGGGACATGGGGTGCCTGGTGAGTGTGTGGCGGGGTCGACCCTGCATGGCCTTGCGTTTCCCAAGCTGGCGCTGAAACGCGGTTGGATGGGAGACCACTTGGTTGATGCCAATTGTATATAAGTTGTATCATCTCGATGCTCTTAAAGCCGCCCGCTCGGTTTTACTACGTCACTTGCTGCGTGAAAGCGAATGGAAAGTGAATGCGTGGTGGGTTTACTTCGCAACCAATCTTAACATACTATCCGTCGCGTTAAGTGCCGTAAACGATTTTCCGCACCTCCTCCCTTACCTGCGTAACCGCCAGAAACAGCCCTGGCATGTAAGGACGGATGTAGTACATGATCTGCGTGCTGCTCACCTCTACCTATGTTTGGGTATTTGGCGTCTACTTTGCTGCGCGACGACATGAAGGACGCATCGCAGCCAATAGTAAGGCCCTGACCCTGACCTTGGCCCTGTGGCGTGGTTCCACAGTCCATGTCCTCTGCCGCTATCGTGAACATTTATAGCATCAGCGCCACGAGATGATGCGAGAGCTACGGTGCGGCACTCGGCCACTTCGTACTGCGGCCGGACGTTTCCACTGCTACACCACACCCCGTCTGTATTTCATTCCTATCAGCGCGACTCGGTCTTTGTGCTTTACCGTAAGCAACTTCCCCGGGAGTCACTTTCTCACACTGGCTGTTCACAGCACTGCAGTGCATGTACTACTACTTATTGGTGGCTGCAGCTTTGGCAACGATCGTATATGGGATAGGTTAATGCTTGCATAGGTGATTGCGTTCAGCGATAATGCTGCTGCTGCTGCTGCTGATGATGATGACGCTGATGATGCTGATGATGATAAAGGTGGATTGAGGATGGACGGATGAAGTCCTACTGTTGTGGGTTGAACGGACCGCGGTTCGGTACATGCTCACGCGCGACAGCCATGAAGTGTTGCACATTTGGACGTGAGCGGGATGCGGTCTGCGCAGCGTCGATGTATTGGAAGTGATGGGAGCGGCCAAGCATTAATGTTGGAAGGCGCGTCCAGCATGCTGGAGGTATGTGTGGCTGACCCTGCAGCTGGGGAAAAGTTCTTCAGAGCCCATACCCGATGAGAGGACGCGTCTGTGTATATGTGCATAAATGTGTACGTGTCCTGGCCTGCTGGCGCGGTGTTAATAGTGATCAGTCCAGTATGTGGGCTACAACGCGTGTCAACGCCTCCCTTCCATTCTTTCTTTGCTTCGCTGATAAGGTGATGGTGGGTGGAGCGCCCCTTTTGCCCCCGGGCGCTGGCACATCGCGTAGGAAGGCGTTGAATCGTGGGTCTCTTTCAACAGCACCAAAGCAGACTCGACCTTCGCGTTTCGCCACGCCTTGCCATGGCTGTTCGTAGGAAGCGGTCAGTTGGGGCCGTTAATGGTGCGTTCAGGAAAATCCGCGTCCATCTCTTGGCATTTAGCGTGCGGATGAGCCCTGGGCGAGAGCACATACGTGCTCGTGTCTGGCTGGGAGGCCGCCCTGTTCAACAGGAATAGAGGAATGACGCTTCCCAACCGAAAGCACGAAACCTTCACTGCGAAGTGCATATCTTAGGTCAACAAGTAGCTGCAGCTATGTTCAACGGTATTTGTGTCATAATTTGTCAGGTTGAATGCAGCAACCCCTTTTTACGGCCCCCTTTTTACGGTAGTTAAGCACTTGCAGTGTAAGAATGCGAACCATGGGAAAACAGAACCGGGCAGCTATCGAAAATATGGCCATACACTGTTGCTTTCGCTGCAGTTTTGGCATGATCGTATTGCTGTACGGGATAATGGTCGCAAACCTGAGAGACGTTCACGACCTTATCACTACTGCAAGAACTATCGCACATTTGAATCGATATCGGCGACAGTAAATCCTTCTCTTCGTTCCAGCAGTTCGGAAATAGCTCCAAGTGGGGCGAGGCATGGAAATGGCGGGTCGCCTCTTGGACCTTGGTAACATAGACCTATGGAGAAGCGAGGAGATGCAGCTGGTGCAGGTGGGCGCGGGCAATGCGGAGTTGCGTGACGCTGTTGCGGTATTCCCATGGCACGGGGTTGGGCCCTTTGGACACGAAATCGCAGCGCGTCATCCTATAAAGCAATCACAGTTCACTTGCGTTGTGATCCGCGTTGCCAATTTCTGGGTGGATCTGCCGCGAGGTGGTCTTCCGGCATGCCGATATCGCCTGCCAACGGCGGAAGCATGAACTGGCTTCTTTCCAATCTTAGAGAGACGTTGTGCCTGATAAACATGGTACTATCTTTTGTGCCCTGCACCTGCGTGATGTGAACTGGTACAGCTAATGATCCCAGCGGATGCTGCGCACGACACTGTGGAAGTGTTGGGTGAAATCGGATTGCTCCAGTTTAAAGACTTGAACGTGGACAAGTCGGCCTTTCAGCGGACTTACGCAAACCAGGTCAGTCGGACGGTCGGTCCGTTCGTCATGCGCACTTTTTCCCCGTATCATAGCTACTAGGGTTGCAGCACTTTTCTAAATTGCCCAATCCGCAGCCATGCAAAGGCACTGCCACCCAGCCAGATACCAATAACCGCATGTCACCGCCTCGTTAAGCCTTCTCGGAGAAACCTAGCTCCTGGGAGCCCACAACCATTTTTTGCGGGCCGCCAAAAGAGCTCCTGCAAGATGTCTCCAAACTGACTGGAATCGATCTTATCCTCCATCAAAAGTCTCCAAACCTGACTGGAATCGGTCTTATCCTCCATCAAAGAACACAGTTGATGGTTGGATCCCAGGACGGGGCTTATGACACGTGAACACCTAGACTAGCTCTAAACTGATGTCACACCCAACGTGCACCCCCCGTGTGACGCCGAGTGGCGAACGCTCCCTTTCCCCCTTGCGCCTGCGTCTCCCTTGCCTTTCTGCCCTTCTGCCTTAGCCGCCACCGCCAGCGCGACCGCCACCTCTGCTGCAACTGACGCCTCCCCTCTTGGGCGCGCGTTGTGCATTGTTGCCGCTGTGTGCGTTTGAGACGTGCGATGTCGGTGTGGCCTTGCGGTCCTCCCCTTGCCATCTTTCTCCTCCTCTACCTTCTCCTCCATCTCCCCCACCTTCGATTTCCTGACGTCTTATGGGGCAGTAACACCTATGAAGATTACTCTTTTTTGTGAAAGGACTTCATGTGAAGTAAATAAAATATTTTCCCTACTGCCTTGTGTTGGAATGAGTTCATTTTCTTTGTCCGCGACGCATTTGGAAATTCTTTTCTCCACCACTATGGTGGTTCGGCAATTGGAGGCAACCCAAGACACGGCTTGACTGATGTGTGAATGTGTAGAATGTGTAGAAGTGCATAAAGACGTCATCCCTTCCCTTCCCGTTCCTTTCCCCCACCTCCCAACAACCCAATCTTTTACTCACCAAACTGGATCTTTATATTCCCAACTGTACGGCGTAGGTCCGGCGCTGTGATGAGCTGGCTCGCAAGCTGAGGTTCTTCCGTGAGCAGGTCCGTTGACTGTGTGTGCGTATGTATGTTTGTGCGTGTACGGAAAGGGGAACGGGTGTGCCAAGTGTGAGATTAGTGTATGGCTGCGGTGGGGGTGCGATTGGGTCTGTGGGGTGTGGATGATGCCGTGTATGTAGGGTGGGGTGCCGTCTGCTCCCTATCTGTTAGAGTGTGGTGCGTGCTGTGTCTTACTTGCTCTTTAGCGGTACCCTTGATGCAGGTTGTTGACGGGGCCTGACGTGTCCCGCACCGCAACCTGACTCTCTACCTGCGCAATGCCCTGCAGCAACTGCACGCACATAAATACATACGTGCATACGTACATACATACATACATTTACCACCCGCGCATCAAGACACATTCCAACACGGCCTCTCACACACGGCCCCCTGGGGCCCTCCTGGCCCCTCTCTTTCCTCACATGGCAGATTGACAAGGCGGGGTTGCCGATAACCAGTCGCTCAATCCTGGAGTCGTCCAATGTCACACTGGACGAGCTCGAGGTACGTCGTATAGCCCCGGGGCAATTGGGTAGCGTTGGAGATAAAGTACAACTTACCCCAGGAGGGTGAGGTGGTCGTGGGGAGTGGGGTGGCACCGGTGGGGGCTCCGTAGGGCCCGCGGAATAGGGATACCGTGATAATACTGCTTCAAGGTGAATGTGGAGGTGGTTTAGGAATGAAGAAAAATAAGGATATGGGAATGACTTGTTTTTTTACGGCTTTTACGGCTTTTGGGGTTTTAGTTGGGTGAGGAGTGGATGCGAGGGAGAGGGATGGAGTCGTGCTTGCTCAAGCAGGGCGGAAAAGGGGATATAGTCAGGGAGAGGGAGGGGGGAGATGTTGGTATATACAGTATTTGGGGGGTTTGGGGAAGCTGACCCGGAAATGAGCACGACACCAGCACCAGGAGGAGCTTATTCGCGAGGCACGGCGCAGTTGTTGTAGTTGTAGCAGCAAGCGGTAGCTACGGTCCGTGAGGTGCGATGTAGCAGCTATAGCAGCGCCCATGAGCAGGCATGTCAGCGAAGGCGTGGGTGGGGTTGACGTGTTGGGTTTCGCGATGCCAGGTACGGGATCGGAAAGGGGCCTCGGGGGCGGGGAAGGAGGTAACCCCTCGGAAGGAGGGATTCGCTGAGAGGAGACGAAGGCAAGCCCAAGTAAGGAACGGCTCGTTGTGGGAGGGAGGGCAGGTGGGTATGTAATGGGTACTCCCCCCAACTCCACACCACTTCCAACTCACTCGACCCCCCCCCTTGAGGGCGGCCTCCCGAAACCTTGTCTTGGTTAACCTAGTCCCATCGGGTTCCTCTCCTTGTTGTACGGATGCCTTTGCCGTACAGAGTTTGTTGGAGCAGTTGGAGCGGGAGATGGTTGAGATGAATGCCAACCATGACAGGATGCAGAGGGCGCATGCAGAGCTTGCTGAGCTGTCACTGCTACTGGATTGTGCGGGTGAGTGAGTGGCGGGTGTTGGGGGGAAGAGGGATACGAGGAGGCATAGATGATGGAGGGAGGGAATGATGGACGACACGTTTAGTTGTTGTAAAGTAGCTGTTATCGTTGCTGCCCAATAGTTTAGAAACAGAACTAGTTTCTACAGATTCGGACATATCATATTTTAGGAGTTTCATATCACAAAAGTTTTCGTAGGCTAGCTGACACCACCTGATCTCATGCGAACACGGCACTTCACTCAATCCATTGAAGTTTTTGATCTTTTTCGTATTTTGACTTTTCGCGTTTCGCGGAGGGGGCTACTTTTCACATTGCGTACGCACACAAATTAATTAAACCCGCACCTTTTTTACCCCAGGCTCCATATCCCCATTTCCCTCCCCCCCCCAATCTTCATTCATTCGTGGTTTGTCTTCCCCCCCCCCCCCAATCTTCCCCCCCTTCATTATCCCCTTGCAGGCAAGTTTTTTGAATCCGCACGCCGTGCCGCCGCGGGTGCGGGTACGGCAGCAGGTGGCCTGGGCGGCGGTTCGGGTGCGGGCGGCAGTGCTGCGGATGTGAGCTCGCCCCTTCTGGGGGGAGGTGGACTGGGGGCGCTGGAGGCCAGCAGCTCCACGGTGGGAGCCTTTGGGGTGTGACTGACTGTATGTCTGTCTGTGTATATGGACGTATGCGTATATGTGTGCATGTGCGCGTCTGTATGTTTATCTGTACGTAGTGTCGTAGTGGAGATTGGGGGGTTGGGGTTTGGGTTTGGTGGGGTGAACAATGTGGAGGGGGGGAAGTGGGTCTTTGGGGGTATCCTTTCCACTTGATGGATTGGGGCGTATTTTGGGGTGTTTCGGGGTGGGGTGGTTGGGGGAGTGGGGTGGGCGTGTTTGTTGTTTGTGTGCATATGCTTTCATAATGCACACAGCGTGTGTTTGTTGTGTGGGGGGATTACTTGAGGGACGGAAGGTATCGGATTTCTGCTGTGTTGTCTGTCTCTCTCTCTCTTTTGTTGATCCCCATTGAGTTTGTGTTTTTTGGTGCTGTGGGCTTCAAGTTCCCCCACCTCCTCCCCTCCCATATCATGCTTTCCCCTCTTTTCGTTTTCCCCCCATTTTTCATTACATGTACGGCACTTACGACACCCTCAGTACGAGCCGAAGATTGGTCGGCTGGGCTCCATTGCGGGCCTTATCTCCCGGGAGCGGCTGGGGGGTTTTGAGCGGCTGTTGTTCCGGGCCACTCGCGGCAACAACTACTTCCGTTCCATGCCTGTGGGGCTGGTGCTGGACCCGGCAACTGGTGAGGCTGTCTCCCCGTCTGGGTATGTGGGTGTGAGTATGCCTGGGCATTGGTGGGCGGGAGGTAAAGAGGGGACGGAGAAATGAAACCTGGGTTGTTTCGGTGTATGTATGTATGTGTGTGTGTGGGGGGGGGATGAATGGGGTGCGTCCTAGGCGTGAGTTGGGGGGTAAGATGAACCACGGACGAGTGAAACAGGTATGAGATATGGCCGGTTACTCCAGGGGGGAAGGAGGTGTACTACGAGTAAAAGTTTCCGGGACGGGTGTACGGCGGCTTACTGTCATTACTTGGTGGGGGGGAATGGAATAGGTGTATGGGCCCGAGCGGGGAGGAGGGGTAATGGAGGGGGTATACGTGTTTTGCCAATAGCGAGCAGAAACGAAACATACTGGTGTTTCCAACGTAGGGATGTACATTCAGTCCTCTTTTGCTACAGGAAGAAAGCAAACATGACATACATACGGAGCCATTGGACGGGCGTGTACATATGCTGTGTTTTCCTTAATGGGCCCCTCTCATCTCTCCCTCCCCTCTCCCTCTCCCTCTCCCTCTCCCTCTCCCTCTCCCTCTCCCTCTCCCTCTCCCTCT